ATATAAAAACCGGTAAAGTACTTTATTAGCATGCCAAACATGATCAATGCGCAATTTCACATAATCTTGAAGATGTTTATTATGGTAAAAACCGATAATTTTCTGTTTTTGTATCATACCAAAACACTATATTATATTACGCATGTTTTAAAGTTATGTGCAGCAGTTATAACTCATGAATATATATTCTGCCAAAGTAATCTTTCTTCTGGAGAACTACTTAAGGTTGAGATTGTGTTATAAGACAACGATATGCAATTATATAAAAATAATTAAATAATCTTAATACATGTAGTAAAATTATTATACACTTTATTATACCCCCTGCAACAAAGTTAGAGGGTATAATGGAATCAGCTTGTCTGTATGTCCGTAGAAAGAAGATTGTCCGGACAACTCCTTCTAAAGTAACGGACCAATTTCAGCGATAGTTTCCAGGTATGATAACTACCACCTCAAGTTATGCATACAGGTAAAATGTTTTCATTCTGATCCTTTTTTACAGAGTTATGGCCCTTTGATGAAAATTGTTTGTCCAGACATATCCTCCAAAACTAAGGGGTCAATTTCAACGAAAGTGTTCAGATATAATAACTTCCACCTGATGGTGTGCATCCAGGTATTTCTTTTTCAATATGACCCTTTATAACGGAGTAATGGCCCTTTGTTGAAAAATACTTGTCCTGACAACTCCTCCAAAACAATGCAGCCAATTTCAACGTAAGTTTACAGATATGGTAACTACCCCTGACATAGTGCATCCAAATAGTAGGTTTTCATTCCGGACCTTTAAAAAGGAATTATGGCCCTTTATAGAAAAAGAACCTTTGTCTGCCTCATAAACTACTGGGCGGATTTCTATGAATGTTTACAGATATGGTAATTACCCCCTGATTTCGTGCATCAGGGTACGTGCATCAGGGTAATACTTTTTTTTATTTCGACCCTTTTTAAGGAGTAATGGCCCGTTGTAAAAAAAATGTCTTAACAACTCTTCCTTTACTACTAGAATGACTTAAGCAAAACTGGTTCATCGGGGCTAACAATATTTGGTATGAAAGTATGTTTTGGCATGGGGAGGGAGTACAGGGAAGTATGTCAGTGACATATATTCTTAAATATTTACAGGGGGGGTTGGGGTTGGGTCTGGCTGAACTATGTATTGCTTTGCAATTCTTTGCCTTAGTTAGCCTTTAGCTTACATTCTGGGTTATATAGGAGTGAGGGTATTAGTTAGTATTTAGATTACAGCTCTAGTTATTATTTTATTCGGCCTATTGCCCATTCATTAAACAAAATATGGAGGAATATTACATTATTTTATATCGTTAACTCTAAACAAATAAAGCATGGAAAGGTATCCTTATCTGCCTCCCCATACAAACAATTATTTCAGCACATTTGATTTTTGTAACCTTGAGCTTAAAGATCAAGGTCATCAACGTTTACAAAAGTTTAATCAATTCACATGAACAACCTACTTGCCAAATATCAAGACCAAAGGACTTTTGGTCATGAAGAAACACAAGTTAAAGGGAAAATGGAAAGAAAGTTATGTATTTCCTTTTTTGAATCAAAAGTGTTATATGACAAATTTACCGGTTGTCAATTTTCTTGAAATTCCTGATGTTGAAAGATATTATTGGTAGCCAACTTTTAAGCAAGTATGAAATATAGACTGGTTTTAGAACTATGTAAATTAACTTGTAGAAAATGGAAATTTTCCATTAGTAATGAAATTTCACATACTTTTCTGCTTAAATCTTCAATAAAAAGAACAATTCTTTCTTGAAATAGTGTAATATTAGGTATCAAAATGAAAGTTGGAATATGTTGGACACGATGATGATATAATTTTATAATAATTATTTTATTTAATTAAAATGAATTCTGAAACTAACGGTTACTTAATTAAGCTTCCTATACCCATACCTTTTTGTAGTTATCTTGTTTTGAAATTCCAAGCGGGGGCCGACGCTAATGTTAAATCTCCATAGGCGTTGACCCTACGTATACCTTTGTATTAATGGTGGGTGTGGCCCCCCTGGGGTTAGAGGGGCAGGACCAAATAGGGGAAATAGAGGTTAAACCTTTAAAATCCTTCTCCTACCGTAGGGATTAAGGGATTTTATCCTAATTTAGTCTGGAGCCAAGGGGACTCAATTTTGTATAAACAGTGGTTGTGGCCCCCTTGGGGTCAGAAGGGCGAGGCCAAATAGGGGAAATAGAGGTAAAACATTTAAAATCCTTCTTCTACCATAGGGATTAAAGGATTTCATCCCAATTTGGTCTGGAGCATCCTTGGGCAAAAGGGACTAAATTTTGTATAAACAGTGAGTGTGGCCCTCATGGGGGCAGAGAGGTGCCCAATATGGGAAACATAGCAAATTTATCAAAAACCTTCTTCTGCTGTAGGAATGACGGGGTTTTGTTCAAATTTGGTACGAAGCATCCTTCGGTGAAAGGGAACCAAAATTGTATAAACGGTGAGCCTGACCCTCATGAGGCGCAGAGAGGCAGACCCAATATGGGATATAGAGGAATAGCTTTAATATCCTTTTTAGCTCACCTGGTCCCAAGGACCGTTGAGCTTATGTCATGGCGCGGCATCTGTCATCCGTTGTCCGTCAACTTTACAGACAGACAACCTGATTACTATAGAGCACCCACAAATTCCAATGTGGGGTCCTTATTAGAACTTGCTCATGTATGCATTTTATCATGAAGCAGAAGGCAGTTCCTCTAATAATAAGGTCAAACTAGAAATTGTTGGCTAACAATTTGATGGGCTTTTCACTGTAAGGCCTGATTTGGCCTTATAGCTATTTAAGAGTTATTTCCCTTACACCAGTAGTAAAAGTCCTTGTATCTTTGAAATTTGTTTCACAAAATTACATGTTCAAATTTGACCTATCCAATACCGGAAGTTGATCTTTGATGGTAATTTATGTCCATAAACCTTGTAGCCCGTCATCATAGCATGCTACAGACCAAATATCAATACCTTGGGCATTTTCGTTAATGAGAATGAGTCTTTTGAAGATTTTTACGAGATTGACCCTAGTGACCTTGAACATGGGTCAACGTCATTCATATTATCAAACTTGATAGTCCATTGCTTGAGCATGAATATTCAATAAATATTATGACCTTGGGTCACTTGGTAATTGAGAAAAAGGTTTTTGAAGTTTGTTTCACAAAATTACACATTCAAACTTTGACCCCTAACGAAAACCGGAAGTTGACATTTTTTGTTAAAACAGTATGAGAGAAAAAGTTTGCTCTTGCTAATCTTGATATGATATCCAAAGATCAACCTCGTGCCTGATATCGTTAACGAAATATATTGGTATAGGCTGTTAACCAATCAGAGTTCGTGGTGGCCATCTTGGAATATAAATTGCTCCAAAAAGTAACATAAGTTCGTAAGGGCTGCTAGAGAAATACATGTACCAATTGTGGTTAATATTGGAATGGCAGAATTGGAGAAGAAGATCGTTTAAGTTTGTATAAATAGTGTCGGCAACAAGAGATCCCAGAGGGATCTTGGCGCCCACCTTTGTACCATCTTCATAAGTTCTTTGTCAGTTCAATCTTTTCTCTTCTTTCCTCTAATCTGTTTGATCGAGTCATGTTAACAGTAAATGCACCTTGAGGTAGCTTTTGATCTAAATTTAATATTGATGTGTATGAAAGCCAACCTTCAAAGTGAGTTTGTCATTTCACATATTTACTAGTACAGTACTTAATGTGAAAGAAATAGAATCGATCATTGCAATATGAGAAAGATCTGTTTAGTTCTTCTTTTAATCCATTTTGTTTTTATGATCAGTCTCAAAATATAACANCAAGGGGAACCTACATATAAAATTTGAGAAAGATCCCTCTGGTACTTCCCGAGAAATAGCGATAACAAACTTTCACTATCAAAATCCAAGATGGCTGCCTGTCGGCCATGTTGTTTATCCGATCAGTCTCAAAAGTTTCCCTGAACAAAAAATAACCAAGGGGAACCTACATATAAAATTTTAAAAAGATCCCTCAAGTACTCCTGGAGAAATAGCGATAACAAACTTTCACTATCAAAATCCAAGATGGCTGCCTTTCGGCCATATTGTTTATCTGATCAGTCTAAGAAGTTGCCCTGCACAACTAAGGACTAAGGGGAACCTACAAATAAAATTTGAGAAAGATCCCTCTGGTACTTCTTGAGAAATAGCGATAACAAACTTTCAATATCAAAATCCAAGATGGCTGCCTGTCGTCCATGTTGTTTATTCGATCAGTCTCAAAAGTTGCCCTGCACAGCTAAGGACCAAGGGGAACCTACATATAAAATTTGAGAAAGATCCCTCAAGTACTTCTTGAGAAATACCGATAACAAGAATTGTTTAAGGACGGCGGATGGACGACGGACCACGGCCGCAGGGTGATTTGATCAAAAAGATCAAAGGCAATAATGAATAAGAACAACACTTTCGACACCTATGACCTCTTTCCACTATGATTCTACAACAAAAATATTCCTCTTTGCTTCTTGGTTATATAGAAAAAGATTGTTCAATATATTATGCTTTTTTTGTGTGTCTCAATATAAATCAAAGTACTGGGAGTACTGAAAACACTTCAAAATCGCACAAAAATGAAAACGGTTTTCGACTTTCACTTTTGAAATAATATTTAGAGTAGGTCAAGGTCATTCATTTGCACACACTTTAAAGCCCTTCATTCAAGCATGTTTCTTGCCAAACATCGTTACCCTGGAATAATTGATAATTGGTTATTCAGAAAAAGGGGTTTCAATAATTTTACTTATATGACCTCTGTGACCTTGAAAGGTCAATTTTTTTTTTTTTAAACTTGATAGTCAATTACCTGACCATGGTATGTATCAAATAGTAGGACTCAAGACCTTGTAGAACTCTAGAAAAAGTTTTCTGAAATCATTATCTTGAAATAGCACATATGAAATTTGACCCCTAAATAACTCAAAACTTGACCCGGTCAACTCAAAATTTTTATTGACAAAAATATGTGCATTGGTGCTGTCCACATCATACCTGAATATAAAGTAAATCTTACGAACAATTTTTGAACATTCTGGATTGAAGATTTTTTTTTTTTTTTTAAACATTTGACCTTTGTGAACTTGATAGTTGATCAAGGTCAACCATTGGTGGCATTCTCCTTCGATATGTAGAAGAATTAAAAAAAAAAAATGAAAAATGAATGTTTTTTTTTTTTAAATTGTGACCTTTGACCCAACAGCAAGCTTTTTTATTTGACCTTAAAATGAAATATTATAATGGAATAAAAGTTAGCCCCGAAGATTATCTACATTTAATATAATTGCGTCAATTCTGTAAATTGAACCATTTTTGAGTTATGGTCATTTTAAGATTTTGACCTATGACGTCATGGCGGCCATATTTAATTTTTGACCTACTTGAAAATGTTGCTTGATCAGCTTTAGACCTTTTCCTACAACATACTTAAAAGACTATAAACCTATCGTTTACCAATCAAAAGAAACAGAATTCACAAAGTACGGAATAATAATAATAAGAAGAATAATAAGAATAATAAGAATAATAAGAAACTTAACAAAAACAATAGGTCTTTTCACCAGTAGGTGAAAAGCCCTAATAAGTGCTAAGTCAAAGATATCCTCCCACCGATGACATAGAGTGCACTGTCATTAGGTCAAAGGTCTAATAAGTGCAAAGTTTTTAGGATATCGTTTTGTTCACAAAAACAAATCTCTAGTTTGTAATCCAAATGAAAACAATAACACCAACATGTTTATGCCTGCTATGTCAATCAAGGAAATGGCAAATTATTCCAAAAAAAATCAAGGTAAATAATCCATCAAGTGTTATGAAAAGGAAACAATGGATCAATCAAGAAGGGTTGGGATCAAACACGTATGCTGGTTTAAGTGTCATCACTTCATTTGATTGTTGTGTGTGATTAGTCTCTGTACCGGCCACCCCAACACTGTCTGCTACTGGTGGAGTTGAATCTGTGTCTCTTTTAACCCCAATCACCTCCTCATCATTGATTGTATCATCATTTGTAATTTGTGTCCAGTTTTCTGAATTTGCAACCTCAGAACAAGGAATTGGAGATTTTATTTTTATATTTACAATGTTAGGACAATGTTCCACAATGCTACCTCCTGATGATGCTGATGATAAACTTTGTTCAATGTCATGCTTTGATGCCTCTATGTACATCTGAGGGGATTCTGGAGCTTTACTCCTCTGTGTTAGGGTAGGAGGACAGTTATCCCCTGAACCCTGCTGTTGTAAAGATGCACCATACTCAATGGAAGCCATTTGGACTCTCTCAATGTGCATCATGCTCTCCATCACTTTCTTCTCCTGACTCACCAGTGCATCCTGTATAGCCTGCATCTGAAACACAACACAATTATATAGGAATACATTTTCATACATAAACACTAACAATAAATTTATCTTAGGTATATAAATGTCTATAAACAAGAGGCCTGGAGGGCCTGTATCGCTCACCTGGATATATAAGCAATCATGGCAACATGTTCTCTACATAAGAACCCTGGGAATGGGCAAGATCCCAGGCCTAATACTTGTAGCACATCTGTATTAGATTTTTCAGGAAATTGCCCAGCAATTTTATTTATGATTATGGGGTGGGGATCCTTGAATATGGTGGAAGGTCATTTGTTTGCACAAGTTTTGTATCCCTTCATCCCAGCATGCTACTAGAGCCAAATATCATCACCCTTGGCCTCTTGGTTATTGTGAAGAAGTTGTTCAAAGCAAAAAGTTGATGACGGACCTACGAAAGATGCCGCATCACGGCATAAGCTCACTTGGCCATTCCGTTGGTTGAAGCTGGTTGCTACACATGTAACTATGATAGCCATGGTTGCTAGGATAATATAGTTTCAGTGAATCTACATTGATATATGAGTAAATTTAGAAAAAGCACTATGATCAACACTATTTTTTTAAACTTTAAATTAATTATCTGAGTAGCCTTCCAAACATTTATATGAATTTATAACGGTCCTTATGTACGAGCATTGACACACCGCACTGGTAGTGTTTCATAAAGATTATACACACCTGGTTCTGCAGGTCTCTGCTATGTTCTTCTATAGCTTCCTGAGTGCCTGTATCACCTACTGCCACAGTTGGTTGGCCAGGCTCAATGGACAAAAAGAATGGCAGACGGATGCTGTAGCCCATCCACATGAACAGGAAGAGGAAAAAGAATATTGTCACAGCAGCAATGGCAATTGGGTACAATGTGATGGGTAAGTCAATAAGTAAGGCTCGCAGAAACTCTCCTAAAGCCTCCCCAACATCTTTTAACGGTGTCACGAAAAAACGGACAAACGTTACAGCTAAGGCCTGAAATGTATCAATAAAAAACTGATCAAATACTCATATTAACCATCAGTTGGTCTTTTTTTACACAAACTAATAATAACTAGAAATTCTAATAGACAATTTGACGTGCTTTTCATGATTGCTAGCTACACTTTGACACTTTAGGACAGTTTAGGTTTAACAATATCCAAGATGAACACATGTATCTTCCAATTTTGGTCAACAATTTGGACTGGCTCAAAATGTCATTTAAATCGAAAATGTCCCGGCCAATCAGATGCTAAATTTTTCAAACAATTGACCTTTGTTACCTTGATATTCGATCAAGGTTAACAATTTTTTTTCAAACCCGATAGTGAATTTGAACTTTGACCCCTAACGTCACACTACCACAATTGGTACACTACCCAAATTGGTACACAGTCAGAAAATTGTTCGAATAGTACTTTAAAATTAAATTTGAGCATTTTCCTTTGACAGTAGAACAAAAGAGATATTTATCAGCATTTCTGCCGAATAGTTTTGTTTTTATGAACATTTTAAGAGTACACGATGACTTCAAAGTAAACATATCAGAAAACCAGTAAAAACGACGTATATCAACGAAATTTTGGAGAATTTTCAAGGGGTTAAATATAAGCATGTTTAAATGTTGATTTCTGGTCCTTATAACCTAAGTGAATATATACAAATTCCATAGCCTGTGATATGGTGTACCAATTTGGGTACTAATTACGGCTGAAAAAACGGACGAAATCTCACTCAGAGTTAAGCGTTCTATTTTCAAAAACAAATTACTTAGATATATAACTTTTCCTGAAAATGAACCACCATAGGTAGTCTTTGTCAAGAATTAAGAAACATTCCAGATACAAGATCTGAATTTTTAAAGATCACTAAAAAACTCAAAACAATTGTGGTAGCGTGACGTTACCGAAAACCAAAAGTTGACATTTTTTGCTAAAATAATATGAGAGAATAAGCTAAACGTATCAAATTTGTGCTTGATATTGTTAAGGAAATAGAGGCTATTAACCGATCAATTGCTCCAAAAATAAACAATAGTTCGTAAGAGCCTCCAGAGAAATACATGTACCAATTGTGGTTAATATTACAATAGCAGAATTGGAGGAGAAGATTGTTATGGTCTGTTAATAATATTGTCGGCTCAAAGGCAATAATATACACTTCATATGATGTTAAAGGGAAATGTTTCAGAAACAATAAATATTTCAAATTGATCAGATTGCCATTTACTATCGATTACAGGAAGAATTTTTCAAAAACAAGTGAAAAATGAAAGTTTGAAAAAAAAAAAAGGTGACCTTTGACCTTAAAAATAAGTGACCTTTGACCCAATGGCGGGAATTTAAACTTCACCTTTTCCCTAATTAAATGGCATAGGTCAAATTTAGCCCTGTTTTAGCTGTTTTAAAAAAGGTAAAAAAAAACAATTTATAGGTCATGGTGGCCATATTGAATTTTTGATGAAGTTGAAAATACTTCAATGGCATTTCAAGACCATGACCTACAGTATGTCAAAATATAGGATATACCTGCTGTCTTTTAAGAGAAAAGGCTGTGACCAGATTTGTGTAGAATAATAATAACTAGAAATTTTAGGCTAATAATTTGACGGGCTTTTCACCGTTAGGACTGATTTGGGTTTGACCATGGTCTTTCGCTTCTAACAGTTGACAGAGATTTAAAAAAAAAATCCTTATGCACATGTAGCACAGCTGTGACTTTGAGTAAGAAAATGTGCAGTGTTTGTAGTCAATGAAAATTCAGTTATACCAAGTATCAGGCATGAACTTGTGCAAGTCTACAGTAGCTAACTGAGTAGTGGGGGATTCCCAGAGTGCGAAATGACGTAAGAGAAAGAATGGATTAATATAGGCAGCCAATGGGCGGGGCGGTGTTGTATACGAAGGTAGTCTGTAAAAGTCATGTAGTCCTTTGACTATCTACATCATGGTGATGAATTGAAACTGGCATTTTGTATATATCGGTTGGGTTTGCCATGTTTAAGAATGGCTGACTATACCCACTGCAGTAGAAATGTAAACTTCCATACTTTTTAAGATTGAGAGTACGTAGTTATTGATGTAGTATTACCAGCGTGTATCAGATTGGCTCAAGTTAGGAACGTTTCTTGGCAGTAAGATTTTGAGATCAAAGGATATATTCAAAATAGCATAGGAGATTAATGGCAAATGCTACAGAAAAACTGATGACAGCTGATTCATTGGGATGGAATTCCAAATCCACTGCAAAAAGATTTTTTAAGAAAAGTTTAAAAATGAAAAAGTTGTGAAATAGCCCTAAGCAATATCTGCAAATGGTATAATGCATGAATGCTATATAATAAACATTTTTTTCAGTTATGGCGATTTTAAGATTAGCCATATCAGATTTTTGTCATACTTGAAAAATGTTGCAATAACATCTTTAAATCATGGCCAACAATATACCTGAAAGACTATGAACATGTTTGCTATCAATCAAAGATTGATAGATAGAACTTCTACTTTTCCTACATTGGTGGTTATAACCTTAACTTTCCTTACCTTAGTGGAGTAAACTTCTCCTTCCTTTATCTTGGTGGATAGAACTTCTACTTCCCTTACCTTCGTGGATAGAACTTCTACTTTTCCTACATTGGTGGATATAACCTTAACTTTCCTTACCTTGGTGGATATAACCTTTACATTCCTTGCCTTGGTGGATAGAAATTTTAATTCTACCTTGGTGGATAGAACTTCTACTTCCCTTACCTTGGTGGATAGAACCTCTACTTCCTCTTCCTTTGTGTACAGAACTTCTACTTCCCTTGCCTTGGTGGATAGAACCTCTACTTCCCTAACCTTGGTGGATAGAACTTTTACTTCTCCTACCTTGGTAGATAGAACTTTTATTTCTCCTACCTTGGTGGATAGAACTTTTATTTCTCCTACCTTGGTGGATAGAACTTCCATTTTCCTTACCTAGGTGAATAGAACCTCTACTTCCCTTACCTTGGTGGATGGAACTTCTACTTCCCTAACCTTGGTAAATAGAACCTCAACTTTCCTTACCTTAGTGGAGTAAACTTCTCCTTTCTTTAACTTGGTGGATAGAACTTTTAATTCCTCTACCTTGGTAATTCGAACTTCTACTTCCATTATCTTGATGGATAGAACTTCTACCTTGGTAAATCAAACTTCTTCTTCCGTTATCTTGGTGGATTAGACTTCTACTTCTGTTATTTCGTGAATAGAACTTCTACTTTCCCTTCCTTTGTTGATAGAACCTCTGCTTCCCTAACCTCGATGGATATAGCCTTTAGTTCCCCTTCCTTGGTGGATAGAACTTCTACTTCCATCACCTTTGTTGATATAATATCTACTTCCCCTTCCTTGGTGGATAGGAATTCTACTCCCCTAACCTTTGTAGATAGAAATGTTACTTCTACCTTAGTGGATAGAACTTCTATTTCTGTTATTTGGTGGATAGGAATTCTACTCCCCTAACCTTTGTAGATAGAAACTTTAATTCTACCTTGGTGGATAGAACTTCTACTTCCGTTACCTTTGTTGATAAATATCTACTTTCCCTTCCTTGGCGGATAGGAATTCTACAGTCATGTGACCGCACAACGCACTAATAATAGTGTGCGCACATTGTGCATACATCGTGTACACACCCTCCATACATTTTCCACACATGGTGCACACAACTGTGCGCTTTTAACAATCGTTTGCATCGTTGTGCGCTTCTCTCTGCACAAATTTGTGATTTGGTACAATTGGTTGATCAATATTACAGAACAAAACCCATCCAGAATCTCTTATAGAATTAGGAACACTGTATATAAAAATTTCTCATCAAATTAATTAGGATTATGTTCAATTTTAAAATGTGTGTTACACAGCATTACAGTGACTGTTAGGCTGTCAGGAATGGGTTTAGCTCTCAGGTAACAGAATAGGTAAATAACACAGCACATCGTGTAAAATTGTGCGATCCCACAACTGTATTTCCTTGGATAGAACTTCTATTTCCTCTTCCTTGGTAAATAGAACCTTCACTTCCCTTTCCTTGGTGGATTGAATCTCTACTTCCCTTACTTTTATGGATAGACTCATTGCTTCACTTACTTTGGTGAGAGGAACCTCTACTGTGAATGTTACTGATAGACCTTCCCATTTCCCTTTCCTTGGTGGATAGAACATTTACTTTGGATCCCTTACTTTTGTGTGAAGAACCTCTACTTTGCCTACCTTTGTTGGTGGAACCTTCAGGAATGGGCTGATCAGCATGTGTTCATAGTATTTCTGACAATTGTCTTTTTCAAATGTGAACAATCCACGAAAAGCTGATTGAGCAACACCTAACAAAGTGTCAAATGTGCTTTCATCCAAGTCTTCTTTGTCTCTCACACACTCTGGTGGTGCATCCTTCATTGCGGCAGTCTGCTGTTGGATCTCAGCTGCCTACAAATCACATAGGGAAAAATTCTATACCTGTGGTTTTAATGATAAGACAGTCTATTCCATAATAGTCATTCAGCATTTCTATTAAGTACATAAACAAAATACCCCACCAATATGCAGAATTCTTATTTAAATTTATTGGTATTACCTGGTTCGTTCTTAGCTTACCCTGGACCAAAGACTGTAAGTAGATGTAGAAAGGCTGGGATGGATAACCAGTACCAGTTGCAGTTTGAATACAAGTACTAATATTAGTTAGCAAATCTACACATCTAAATACTGTCCCAAAATGTAGGTCAATACTTATCGATTTTCCCATTCAGAAACATCACCCCTAACTGTCATTTAAAAGACCAGAAAAAACACTCATGATCAGTAAACTTGCTGTACCATTGAGTGCTTGTATACAATAAACTTTGATTACAGTGCACAGGCATGTACAAATAATATCGACTCACATTCTGTCGTACAATGATGCACAGAAATACACGGCCTGGTGTTAACAACACATGAGTGTAATGTTAAATACGAGAATTTCCTAGTCAGGAGGCTAGCTTTAAGAAATCAACTTATAAAGATTTTGAGAATTTACAACATTTTACAACAGTATTTACAAGTCATGAAAATTATGTTTGTTTATGACTTTAGTGAGTTAAATTTAAGTAATTTTCATCAAAACAAATGAACATTGGTGCCTGTAGTTCATGGCACAAACAACAGGGTTATACAGTTTCAGATCCGACTGGCATTAAGGACTCGCACAACTAAATCAGTCAATCAGCAAGTGTTTCATATGTTTGTAGTTCTTATCTGAAATAAATTCTGGCTAATTACTGGGCCACTGAAGGAGATTAACAAGGAACTGATGACATATTGTTAGCTAAATGAAATGTTCAGGTATTTAACTTTTGATCAATATATACTTTTGATATATTTCCATGTCTGTGTGCGGATTTGCACAGGGGCAAAATGTCCGGGGGCGTTTCTGTTTTGGGTCACCGGTTTTGCTTGTAAAGTTTCGGTTGTCAACTACTTGGCGCTGTGACACTCCAATATGCCACTACACCTACCAAAAAAGTCATTTTGTAGCCTTTGCAAGGTATGAATTTATGAATCTAGACAGTTGTCACTAGTTTTGAACTTCAAATATTAAAGTTATTAGCTTAACTGTTTGGTAATAACATATAGTAAATGATTTAGTTGTGTAAGTCCTTTAATCTGTATTAAGTCTGTAACACAAAATCAGAATGAAAAAAAAAAAATCTTTTCAATGAAATTTACATCATAAATTGGTACATGTACAGGCTTTCATGTTTTAATGCTTACAAATGATCTTAATGATACAAAATTCCATGGTTAGCTGGTTCACTAAGATGTAAAACTATAAACTGTATCAGTATTTGAAAATCATCAATGTTATCAAACAGTGCAAATTTGTAAACGAAAATTTTCAAATTATTGAATCATCATATTATTATCTTTAAATCAGGGCTTCAACATCCAACATCCAATCTTTGGTCCAAAGGATGCGTGAAGTTAATTTGGTTTAAAACTGATAAGGGGGTAGCATCCATTATGACCAAAGGACTAAGTCAACTACCTCTATTTCCCCTATTTGGCCCCGCTTCTCTGCCCCCAGTTGGGCAACACCCACCGTTTATACAAAATTGAGTGCCCTTGGCCCAAGGATGCTCCAGACCAAATTTAGTCGAAATCTATTGAGCCGTTCAGGTCTAGTAGTGTTTTAAAAGTTGACAGAAGGACGGACGACGGACGCTGCGCTATAGCATCAGCTCACTTGCCCTATGGCAGGTGAGCTAATAAGAGGCCCAGACGGCCTGTATCTCTCACCTGTGCCTTTGTTACATATAGGTAACTTCAGATCAAATTTGGTAACTAGATCAAAAGACATTTTAACATCTCTTAAACAGTTTGAAATTTGAAATTTTGAAGCTTTTAACCCATGTTGACCTTTGACTCCGGCTAGCACTTAAAGATGACTTTTGACCTCATTAATGTAATTAAGAAAACGATTTACACAGCTGGTCTACATAACATACCCAAGTATCATGACTCTAGACCAAGATATTGTTGTTTGAAGTTTTTAACATATTTGACCCCTGTGACCTTAAAAATAGGTCAAGGTCATTTTAATGAAGAGCATTCCTTCCCAGGTACCTACTGGCCAAATATCATGACCCTGGACCTTATAGCACTTGAAAAGAAGATTGTTCGAGCGTCTAACCAATGTTGACCTTTTACTGCTGACTAGCACTTAAAGTTGACCTTTGACCTCATTACTGTAATTAAGAAAAGGATTTGCACAGCTGGTCTTTACAACATACCCAAGTACCATGACTCTAGTCCAAATGGTTCTTAAGATATTGTTGTTCGAAGTTTTTACCATGTTTGACCCCTGTGACCTTGAAAGTAGGTAAAGGTCATTTAACGAAAACATTTTATAGTATTCCATCCCAGGTGTCTACTGGCCAAATATCATGACCCTGGGCCTTATTGAACTTGAGAAGAAGATTGTCAAAGCTTTTAACCCATGTTGACCTTTGACCCCAGACTAGCACTTTATAGCTATTAGGCCTCACCTCCGAAGTGAGGACTGACCCCTATGGTAAATTGTGGAAGCATGGATGTATTTTTTTTTATTGATGTCGAGCATGGGTATACAGGATTGAAGGGAAAGGATTTCCCCTGTTTCAATGTTATAACCAAGAATCCCTACAGGACCCTGTCCCTTGGGTGGACACTGATCCTAGGATAAATCTTGGTGGCAAAAGTGTATTCATCCCTTCATGCCTAGCAACTCACTGTATATATGTCTATAGGGTTAGAATATCGACCATTTCCAAATTATGGCCCAATTTCTTAATTAAATGGATCTCAGAGCAAATTCTGGCAGGCAGAATGTATTTGTCTAACCATGTCAACCATGGAAGTATATGGTTGTAGGGTGGGGATTTCCACCATTACCAAGTTATGGCCCAATATCCCATACTGAGCCCCTACAATGTTGAGTCACCTTGCCCTAGAACAAAAGACTTGGGGCATTATGGGTCATTTTTTGCCCATAAAAAGTAAAAATTTCAACTTGCATTTATTTGCCTATTTCTGCTTTAAACATCATATTGGTTAATAGGAGCTATCTTTCTTGGTGTAGATTTTTACAAATGTGCATGTGTAGATGCCCTATCTTAGCAATGAAACTGCGTTGCTATGCAGAAATAACCAAAATATGGTGTTTTTGAAAAGTTAGCATACAGAAATGAAAGCCTCTGCATGTGACAAAATTTTTTTCCTTTATATGAATGAACATTGGTATAACAATGTTTAAGCATGTCAAATATTTAGTTGTTTGTTGCATGCAAAGACTTTCAAAACTTGAAGAGTGTTTAGATAATTTGCTTCAAAATGGCCAATTTTCAACTAAATAGCGCACACTAGACAATATTCAGCATTATATCTCTCTTTGTAATGCCATATCTCCTAAACCAGTTTGAAACTTCATATTAGCGTACTTCATTTATTCCTGATTACGAATATATGAACTAATTCTAAATCCCAATGAGGCTGGAAAATGACCCTCAATGCCCCTAGTCCTTTGTGGAGGTGAGCTAAAATTAGGTCAAAGCACTCCTGTTCATAGATTGTCAGAGGAAGCTTTCTGCTCCAGGAAGCACAAATATTATTAGCGAGTATGGTATTGTAAGGAAGTATATCAGAATATGTCTATTAATCATATAATATACCATACATGCATTGTTGTATTTTTCAAATTTCTCTGACCAGTTTATTAAATACTGACATAAATTCTGAATGTGTTCTCTAGCATATGTTGGCTAACCGCAAAATGACGTCACTGTAGGTTGGCAGGGAGAGCATTTGCAAACATTTTATGAATGAAATTCAAAATCAAGACTAAAGGAGTGACCATCGTAAGAGCAATTTTACGTTGAGCAGACATCGTACTATACTTGATTCCCTGGACACCTATCGCATGTGTCAGATAAGGCAAATATCCAACAGACTGCTTATTTGTGTGTTAAGTTAAAATTTTCAGTAAAATAATATTGAACAAGAGCTGTTGGAAAACAGCATAGCTCGCCTATGTATGTTATTATAATACTGCAACTATCAATAGAAACACATGTATAGTAAAATGTTGATAAAGTGCCTGTCATTTTATTTGCCACCTCACTTACCACCAGCATATTTCAAGGACCATTAATTGTGTAGAAACATCTATGTGAATTAATTGTTAAGAAATTAACAAAGTCCAATAAAGCTGTTTTTGGACGCTAAAATATGAAAATACTGTCCAGAACATTGCTAACACTCCATATAAATACTTCAACCTTATAATAGACAACAGCCTATTGATGGTGGTTGTCCAAACTTCACAAAAAACCTTGCCCAAATACTTTAACCTCAAATCTTACTACACTGTAAGTCCAATTAAGCTGTTTTTGGGCCATAAAATATGAAAATATGGTCCAGTGCATTGCTTACACTCGATTTAAATGATTTAAACTCATAACAGACAACTGTGTATTGAGTGTGATGATACAACACTGTCTGGAAAAAACTTGCCCAAAAACTTAAACCTCCCAAGGTGGGATGCCGACGCCGACACCGGGGTGACTACATTAGCCCCCCTCTTCTATTCTTTGAATAGGCGAGCTAAAAATGTACTTCCTATCAATTTGGAGATTCATGTCATCCAAAAAGAATGCACAACTTGACTCTAAAATTATCTTTATTTTTTTGTGTCTATTGTAGGTCTGTTGGACTTACCTTGTAAAGTTCATACCAGGTCATAGGAATACTAATGAGGAAGGCTAGAATACAGGCTTTAAGGACAAATTGGCGCCAGGTCAGTCGAATATTGACGCCAGCTGCCATGGTAATGCAGACCAATGCAACCATTGTGAGGATCTGATAATAAAAATGCAACAGGAACAAGAGGCCCAATGGGCCTGCATCGCTCACCTGGTATAAAACTCACACTTGTAACCTTAAAAGTGATCTAAAATAACAGGCAAAATATCAGTATTTATGATTAAAATTCATTCAAAAGACCCTGTTAATTTTTTTTTTAAACATTTCACCACTGTGATTGAAAGTCGAACAAAGTCATTATGTTGAACACATTGTATAGCCTTTCATCTCAGGATGCAACTTGCAAAGCATAAACATCCTGGGACCCATGGTTATTCAGAAGAGGTTGCT